TAATTGAATTTTTTAAGTTGCGAGACATCGATTTAAAAAAAAAATCATCGAAATTGGTCCATTAGAAGCTGAGATAAGTGAAATTTTTCCGAGCGACGCAGTTTCGAACTCGAGAATTCAGATCGGAGTAACTGTGTTTGCTCCCCCCACCACTGATATCTCATTGATTTCACGCGGTCTTGAATATATTTTGAGTGACATTTTAAATGGGACGCCCGTGATTGCAGATTTTGAAAATTTATATCTGGAAAGTACTCGGAATGGCAATCCTATTAGTTCAAAAAACAGCCCTTATACTCTTACAGTTTTGCTGTAAATAAGGGTTAACTTTAACGGGCTATAACTCCGAAAATAATGTAGGGATCATCGTTTTTTTTTTAAATACTCGTATTTCCGAGGACTTTCAAACCATATTTTAAAATAAAAAAAATTGCTTATACTCGTAAGCATGAAAATTGCGAAAATGTTTAAACAATCACCACGGCTCACCTAATCGTCTGATTTGAATTTTTCAAAAACCATTTTAAAGCTTGAGAGCTCTTCTTTTTGTGGTGAAATTTTTAAATATTCAAAGGGTTTAGATTTTTAGAAATTTGAATTTGAAAATGTTTTAATTTAAAAAAAATTTAAACAATTAGATATTATGTAAAAACTATCGAACCGAATTGGGAATGGAGTATTATTCAGGTGTCTGAAAAAAATTGACAAATAAACTAAATAATAGTAAAGCATTTTTTGCAATTTTTTAAATGATTTTTCCGATTTTTGCAATAACAATAATTATTTTTTCGAATTGCAACTAACTCTATCTTAATCAAAATTTAATTACAAAACTTTTTTTTTCTCTTCAATTTTTGTCTAAAATTGCTAAGTTGTCGGTATACCATTTTTAAAATACATACCGCCTGGACTATTTGTTATAGGCAATTAAATTACCTACAATTTACTTATTTGCAATTTACCAACTTAGTGTTACTTCTTTTGAGTTACTTTTTTGATATAATCATTCTCCAAACCCTTCTCTGTATAGTATTTTTTTTTTAGGTTTAATGATCTAATTCGACTGGAGTAATTAGGTTAGATGATTTTTTGTTGGAGTGGAAGCTTTTTTTCTTACTTTGTTACATACATTTAGATAATTTTTGTTGGATTCTGGAAAAAATTACATGTTTACCTTTTGCACCACAATAGAATACGTAATAATTTCAATTGACCGCATTTTTTTTTTTTTCAGGAGCGACTCGAAGACGCTCAAAACAACGCACAAATAGAAATCCTAGAAGAGCGCTTGAAACTGGTAGAATCCGAGCTGCAAGCGGCCAACGAACGGGCAGATAGAGCGGAAGAAAAATTGAAAGCCCCTCCCGCGCCTCCACCTCCACCGCCGCCCCCGCCGCCGCCTCTCCTACCCCCGCCATCCCAAGAACCACCCGTGGTGCCCCTGCGAAGACGAAGGAGCAAAATAATCCTGCAGGAGTTGGCGGAATCGATAGGCGTAAAGGAGAATAGTTCGCCAGAGAAAAAAGCAACGGCGCCGGGCGTCAACGAGGACATCATCAACGCCATAAAGGCCGGCCAATTTACCTTAAGGAAGGCTAAGAACGATAAGGAGAAGAAGGACAAGGAGCAGCCGAAAGCCGTGTCGGAGCTGCTCAATATCCTGGGCAGTCTGAGGAGGGCACCCAAGAAGCGGCAAAGCCAGTACATTGGAGATGTGCGGTTATGATCCATTTCTAATGATAGTAAAGTATATTTTGAAAAGTTAACCACTTAGTCATGTTTTTATATTGTAATTTTATATACATTTTTGTTATATATGAATAAAATTTATTATCGTAAGGTGTTATTTTATTGGAGTGGACTAAAGCATGCAAGAGTAGTGGATGTTTTAAAAAAAGGCGCTATAAGATATTTGCGTTTGAAATACAAGATAAATCTTTTAGTCACTAAAAATTTTTAAATAAAAAATATATGATCCAAGGAAAGAATATCTTCTAAGCCATGCTAAAAAATAACAAACCCCAACTAAAAAAAATATTCTGAAGTAAGAAAAAAATGAGAAGCGAATCATAGAAATAGAATGTGGAGCAGATATGCGACACTAATTGTAAGCTAAAAATTCAAAGAGAATTGAAAAAATTTTACACGCTACAAAAATCATACCCATTCTAAAAATATTTAACCTAAAAAAATATCTGATCCAAGGAAAGAGTATCTAAACAATGCTAAAAAATGTATAACTTGAGCTAAGAAAAATATCCCGAAATATAAAAAGAATAATGGTCAGGTAGATAACGGTCTTGTAGGTGGCTATCGAGTAGAAAGGTATTCATAGGCCAGTCAAATTGTCGAAAATACCTCGTTTTTTGCCAAAATTTAGTTCACTAAACAAAGACACGTAAAATTTAGGAAAAATTCCGTAGGATTGAATGAACTACTTTACTCCAGCTGAATGTTAGTGCTTTTTTAAAATGGCGTTCGTGGGTCGCAAAAAACAGTTTTTTTAATTAAAAAAAAATTAAACATTTTAGAAAAAAATGTTTTAGACAAGTTGTAGAATTTTTTATAACAAAAATTTTGAGCCCATCACGATGTCAAGTGAAAAACAAATATATTAGTTATTTAAAAAAAGCCTTAAAATCGCATTTTTTTTAAACCTATATTTTTAAAAGGAAAAAAGATTTTTTTACGAAATTTTTAGAATGTGTAGTCCTTGGCAAGTCGAATAAGTACATTTCTGTAAAATTGCAAAACGGTTGATAGTTTTTACAAAAATTGAGTTTTTCTAAAAAAAAAGACATTTTTTTCAAGTTTCGATAAATCATACAGTAGTATGACACGTGACCCATCTTGGGCTTAAAATTTTCTCTACAGTTGTACTTTCCTGTGCAAATTGTACGAGTATTGCAACATAATTGGAATTATGCGAAAAATCTACCGAAACTTTTGACTTCTTCTTTCGGATCGAAAAACGTAGATCTTTTCCTTATCGCAATTTGAATTTGCTATAAATAGAAAAAAATAGCATAAATCGTCTCTAAACTGCAGTAAAAGTTGTATTTTGTTACGCTTAAGAAACCCTGAAAATTTGGTAAAAAAGTTTTTGCATTTGTTTATTAGAAATAGCATTTTCTCAATTGCAAACTCACGGTTGTTATATTTTCAAGATATGCAATTGGAAATTGTAATTTCCAAAAAACGGCATATAAACAAATAGTGTAATTTGTTTATAAGGTTTTTCGTTAATAACTTTGAGAAGAATGAATATTTTTTAAAGCCGCTGTGTAATTCGTAATCCTGGTAATTTTTCATGAATTTAAAAAAAATATATTCTAGGGCCATTTTTAGCCGAGATAGCGTTTTTTTTTTTAAATTTATTACTTGTTGATTTATAAAAATTAAGACTTGAAGTTTCGGGAGTACATCAATCAACTCTTAACCTTTATAATAACGGTTAAAGATATCGAAAAAAATGCATTCTAAATTGGTCCACAATTACCGGAGAACTAAATTTTGGCATCTAATTTTGATTGGACTAAAAGTAAAGAAAAATACATACAAACAACGTATAAATTTAAAAAACCTGTTTATTATTTATTCATCGCACTTTATAAATAGGTGTTAAGAGATTGTGGCTGAATATGTATTTGAAAAATAAATATCATTACCAATCCATTTCTTCACATTTTAAAATAATTAAAGGAACTCTAGACCTTCTAACCCCTTCCCACTGTCCAATTTCTTAGCGTTCTCCTTGATGATTCTCTCCACGTTTACCTGATCTAAGGCTTCCTGGATTTTTAATCTTATGGGCTTCTCCAAAGCGTCCATTATCTGGTATCGCAAAAGGTTAGGAATCACATTAACGGCCAATTCTATGACGTAATCCACAGTGCCCAGACCGTCGAATCTGACCTGAATATTGCCTAATTCCACCTGGATATCGTCTAGGTTAGGATGTTGACTAGTGTCTAAGCTTTGACTGGCGTTCGCTTGTACCTAAACCATAAAAATGGTTAGTTAAAATTATAATTAGGGTGCGTTACACCTTACCCTAATGTATTCAACCGTAAACGACGCAGTCCCAGCTCTGGACAGCATCCCAGCAACGAAGGAAATATCCCAGTTGGTGGTGCCCATCAATCTCTGTGTACCGACTTCGACGAGCATATGCGCCGTCTTATTTCTAAGTTCGAATTTGATGTCCTTCGTCCTGTGGAAGGAGGCCACGCCGTACAACCAGGTGTGGGTGAGATAAATGTCGAAAACGCCGGCGCTGCTGTTGTAATCTTGCACTTTGTAAGGATCGAAGCCCTTGTCCCTCACCTTCCGTCTCAGTTCCGCGATCAGCTGATCGAAAGGCGATATAGAGTTGGGGAACCTCTGCGGCAACTTCTTCACCTCTTTGTTAACGTCGTTTCGGATGTTAGTGTTGGCCTCCTTCAGGACGAAGGGCTTTATGCTGTCGAAGACGAAGGTTCCGACAGAGTTCATGACACCTTTGCAGGAAACGGTAATGTAAAATTAACTTGCATTCAAGACAACATTTAAATGTTATGCGGTGTTCTGAATTTAGACTGCGATACTTTAGTAGCACATTCTGTGACAAATTTTATATTAGAGTTGGCTACACTTAGACCAGGAAAACCTGATTTTTTGTGAGAAGGTAGAAAAATTGGTATATAACAACATATCTTTACCCGTACAAAATAATACCATTTTTGTTTATAAGCCATAGAAACTGTGATTTTAGTGAAATTTCACGTTTTGAGCTTATAACTTTTGTCCGGACGATTTTACTGCAAAAAAGTAAAATTCTTTTTTGTTTACCTTTTCAAGACGAACAGAACGAACCCACGTACGAAAAAAAATATTGATCCAGTCAAAAATTATTAATAAAAAACATTAATTTTTTGCAATTTAAATAAACATTAATAAAAAGCTTATTAATAACAATGATGTGTATTGCTTATCTCCAACTATTCATTTTTACTGACGAATAATCTGTGCGAAAGCTGGAAACCGTAAGTTGAATATTTTGCGAGTTATGGCCTAATAAACAAATTAACTAATAATCAATCCCCACATGTTTGAGGGTCACCCGTATTCGCGCTAAATTTTTTATTGGTATATTTCACTATAAGCTATCNTTAAAAAAAAAATCGTCAAGATTCGTTAATAAACAAAGGACCTACGGGCAGTCAAAGTTGACGGTCTATTGTTTAAACATTTAGATGAGTATCGAAAAAAAAATATATGGCCGTGAGCGGAAGACGCAGCACTGTCTTTCAATAAAATATCAAGTTTACGGGGGCATGCTAAGTAACTTTAAATAATTGTTTAAAATCGGCCAAGCAATCGAAATTCCAATAGCTCGCGCGCGGCGGCGGAGTGGGGGAAGCGATCGAGACGTATCTTCACTACCGAAAAATACTGTTCGCGCGTCTTCAAAATCAACAGCGCAACTGTGACATCGCTTTTCTCGATAATTATTTATGATAAATGACTCTTTTTTTTTAATTTAGGACCACGCGGCGAGAGGAATCTATTTATGCCGCTTAAAATAATAAATTTTGATAAATACAACCGTCCAAAGCGCATTAATAAAATATGCATATTTCTTTGCTACTTATTATGAGATTATTTATATTAAAAATTTGATGAAAATGATAATGCAATTACCTGTTGATATCAACATATTATACGAAAACCATTGCTTAAAAAGATTATTTGTTGTATTTTCGACATTGACATTAACAATATCCGCGAATATTTAAGTGACTAACAGTCT